TGTTATATATCTAGGTTTACAACGTCACATCCGTCTGCTTACATCATAAACTAAATGCTATTGGCTATTAGGGGCCCTATCTTTCCGTACAGCACGATATCTTCCGGCCGCCGTTCCCTAACTATCTGCAACACTCTTCCTCCCAGAAAACGCTGCTTATCCAGGGGAACATTGCTCTTTGTGTGGCCTTAGATTGTTTTTTAGCAAGTTAATTCCTCAATTCTTTATTCATAACTGAGGATCTGGAGAAGCTATTGAATATGCATAGCTTGGACTTATATATGTGTACGTGTATTGTTATGGTTTACTACATTATTCCAAACTTGTAGCAGAGCAACTCTGCTTTCACTGAGACTATTTTTCCCTGTTACAGGTACATAGGTGTGTGTGTGTAAGCAAGTTAATTACACTCCCCCTGTACAATCCCAGAAATTCCCACCTCTGCTGGAAAAACAGCACAATGACCCAGCATTCCTCTATTGCCACTGCTAGAGGCTGAGCTGGTAGTTTCCCACCTGACTGTTTTTCCCATCAGTGAATACCCGTGTATCAAAAGGGAAGCATACTGTAGGAATGCAATGATTTGGGTTCCTCTTTGTCCGTCTCCTGACAGCTCATCTGCCTATCTCCCAGGCTCGGCAGCAGCCCAGCTCCCCAGGCGACTGTCTCCCCATTGCCACCCTGCCACACTGCTGTGTGGAAGGGTGACCTAGTGCAGAGGATCTGACATGTATATATTGGTGCACCTAGCCCAGATCTTTTGTCCTGTGATAACAGCTAATAGGCCAGAGGGTTTCTATAGGTTGAAAGAATGAGGTGACTTCTTTTTCAAAGAGCATGTTAATGACACTCTGGAAGTTTGATTTTTGGAGAAAACTAAGAATTAGCCTGATGACCCCATTCATTCACTCTGAGGCATCGTTTCATTCCTTTCTGATGCTCTCAGCTTCTTGCAAATGTCCAGTGTAAAAGCCTGAGAAGTTGTCTAGGAAAAGCACTCCCAGCTGGATCCTACACTAGCAAATATGTGTCAGATATGTGGATTGCATGAATCAACATATACCTGGCTAATCCCTTGTATCTTTCCTTTTCTTTCCTGATCTACAGGGAGCCTCTTCGAGTCTGGTGGTGAAGTTTGCAGATACAGACAAGGAGCGTACAATGAGACGCATGCAGCAAATGGCAGGACAGATGGGCATGTTCAACCCCATGGCCATCCAGTTTGGAGCGTATGGTGCCTATGCACAGGCAGTAAGTATAGACACAGACTCTTTGCATGTTCATGGGGACAGGGGTAGCACCTAGGACAGCACAAAAGCACACCTGAGCAGAGGAACAACTGACCAAAGCAGAGGAGGATCCAGTGATTCCTTCTTTAAATCAGTTCCACTTTAGGAGGAAACAGCCATTCTCCCTGGTGTAAACTGAGGCATCTTCCAAAGAAGTCCCAGAGGTGCAGTAGGTGCCTCTAGTAGTAGCCAAACTATGACTGAGTGTGTGTCCATGCAGGACATTTCCATTGCCATCCAATCCAGACACCACCAACCTTCAAGGATTTGGAAAACATTTGATTCTGAATTCACTTCACTGTAGTTCTCTGTTCTGTGTCAGTGCCATCCAGCCCTTGGGCAGGCACCCAGGTTTCTTGTCTTCCTCTGTGACCAGGCCACCCAGATTGTGCTGAAGGCTGATGTATTTGGCCAGACTCATACTTTCACAGGCATGACTGTGGGTACCTTTGGTGTGGTCGCAAATAGAATGGTAGCCGCTGAGACAAGCATTTTTAGGCATACATATGCATCACAAAGTCATGGCTCCACAAAACTGTCCTTCACCAAAAATCATCTGCATAAGTAAACTGCTGATACAATCCAGTCAGCCCTTTGTATCGGCCTTGGGGAGTCCCGAGGATGCACTGTAGGAGCTCCAGAAGTTGCCCCTCTCCTCCTAGCTGCAATCCCTGGTGCTATTCTGGGCCTTTTTTCTTCTCTCCCCATCAGACAAATTCAATTTTTTCCTTTCATTTTCTAATTCATTTTTATTCCCCATCAATGAAGGAGAAGCCCCTTCTCTTCTCATACAACAGAACTCTCTCCTGCATAGCCTGGTTGTGTTTTACTGCCCTCCTGACTGGGGAAAGCTGCAGCATCATCAAGGGTAAAAGAGACATAACCGAGTGCAGGCCAGTGGCCAGCGGCCAGCGGCCTGGCAGGGATGGCAACATCTGTGCCCAGTGTACCAGGCGACTGAACAGGAGGACAACCCATGGGCAGCTGGAGATGAGCATCTGCGGAGGTTGTCAGGCAGAAGATGCAGCTGTAGCATTATGCTACAGGCATCTATTAGGCAGGTGGAGAGGTGGTAAAGATGGCTGTCCTGATGCGCTGGACAAAAGCTCCTCTTGGTTACATTATTTTTAATCTAGATTAATTCTTCTAATTACCAGGATAAATGAGTTAGCCTAGGTTTATACTGGTGTAAGGGAGGATGAACTCTGTCCTTTTACTTTTAACCACAAAAGGTCTCTCTATCATTTTCTCCCAAAATAATACTGGACATTTTGAGGATAAATGCTTGAATGAGTATTTATATCTGGAGAAAGTAAAAACAGTTCTTGGGTCTGCTTCTGCTCCCCTTGAATCCAGTGAATATTTTTCCTAAAGATTTCTGTGAAAGCACAATTGGACCGATCCTTTTTTTTTTTTTTTTTTCCCCTGGTGAATATGCTAATAAGGGTGAAAGAATAAGTTTTAGATCTTGACCCATTGGATATGATAAGCTGCTGACACCAATTACCCTGGGGACTTCAGAGCTGTCTAAATGATGGGATCACATTTCTGTGTGGCGCCTGTGCATCCAGAGCGTGTTCAGATCCTGACTCTCAATCAACCTCACTATCTGTGTCTCTCCCTATCTGCTTCATCTCAGCATCTCACACAAAAGGAAAAGGAAGGGAGTGCTCGGACTGTGGGACGTTCCCTTGATCCGATTAATACACCTTGGGCTGCCGGCTCTTAGATATCAGGGGTGATTGGCACCTCGTAAATTCAGGGGTGATTGGCACCTCGTAAATGGCAGCAGGAGATGGCGAGATCGATAGAGGACGGAGGAATAGTAGGGGCAGTTTTATTCAGCCAAAACTTGCAGTTGAAGTTTGAGAGCTAAGGCAAGTCAAGAGGAGGGAAGATAAAACGGTGAAAATGCAAGAGCAGGACAGCACTGACCACTGAGGCCACTTCCATCAGCAACTTGTGTCACCTTGGGTGAATCATTCAACCCCTGGCCTCATTTCTCCACTTGAAGATGATGACCAAGATTATTTATTTTCCAGTCTCCCTTAGGGACATGTCTCTTGTGCTGCCTGCCTTGGTGTTTTATGCACAGACTAGATGTCTACAAAAATTAAAGAACTACCTTGGTGCTTAGTAGTGAGGCCAGGACTAGTATGAGATCCCGGGCTCTCTGGTTTGCACTCAATTGTCCTCCCAGCTCTCCCATTGAAGCTCAAGCTTGAGTGCTATCTCCATAGAAGAATCCCCAAGTAGCCCCACAAGAGCTAGTTAATCAGGTTTTCTAGGGGTCTGTCCCCATGGAGGAGGCTGTCACAGCCCCCCAAGCAGGGGGTGCATGCTGAATCTCCCCAGAGGATCCCACATGCAGATCGCTAGGGTAGCAGTAGCTACCCACAAAGAGGTTTTCACGCATCACAGTAGCCAGTGCATCAGAAATCCATGTGGGGAAGCTGTTTAAGAGGTCAGTGGGCAGCTGCAGGCTTGTCACTCAAGTCCCTTCAGCCATATGAAAGTAGCACTACTAGGGAGAGGCTAGGAGGATCTCAGCCCATCGGTGCTTGACCAGCAGTCATTATTGTTGCTACCAGGACAGATCTAAGTCCCAGTTCCCCTGTAAGTTGCTTCCTCTGCAGCTCAGCAAGTGGCCATGCCACAGTTTGCTCACCACTGCTGCTCGCTACCTCGGCTTGACCAACCTTAGCCTTGACAGCTGCGATGGCCTCGCATAGGCTAAACAACTAGTCCTCAGGTTAAGCAACCATATGGCCATAGAGGCAAAAATATCAGGAGGCAAAGTGTGTTCTGCTCTGCACCTGTTTTTTGCCTTCCCGCCTCATGTGCCCCACAAACAAACAAGGAAACACTTGCCATCAACCGTATGTGCTGGTTCAGTGATACAGAAAGTCACATGAGTTCTTCCCCACCTATTTTGTATAAAAAAATCCAAGACAAGTTCATTTTGAGCTCATTATAGAGGTCTCTAAAAAGAGGATTCTTTGCTTCAATTGATTTGTTTTCAATAATAACGTCTCACACTCATTTAGCTTCTCCTATTACGAGGCAATTATTTATTTTAGTTCACACACAGGGCAGCAGCTGTTTTTGCGATCAGGTCAGTGTGAGTCCATGTCTGCTGGGTGTTGGGAGCTGTTTCCACAGGCTCCATGAAAGGTAGTTTGAGGTTTGAACCCAGCCTGTGGAGGAAGAGGCTCATGCTCATTAGCAGAGCGACTTGTTCGACCCTGATAAGCAATGGGATGACAAGCCCAAAATAGCAAGCAAGAAAACTCAAACCAGACTACTAATAGTGGTAGTAAAATCCTATCCTGAACAACAACAGAAAAGCTGTGATGGCAAAAGCTCCTTCAGTCCTTTTCTTAAGAAACTGGCAGGTACTTAGCAGCTGTCTCATGTCACTGCTGCCCCCCAATGCAGAAAAGAAAATGTGTGCAGAACAGAAAGGGTTGGGAAGATGGAAAAATGCAGAAGAGCAAAGCAAGAACAAAGGAAGGATCCTTGGAAAGTGACAGATACTGTATAAATTATTTAATTTTTAAATTATTTAAAATAAGATCAAAGTCATAAATCAAGTTTGCATAAAAAATGGGGTGGGAGTGTTAGCCACGGTCTCCTGGCCAAATTCCAGTCATGGGACTGATTCTATTTCTGCAGCAGGGGACAAGCATAGATTTAGTGAGTAAGGACAGATGGGGACAAGGCAGCATGGGCAACTGTAACATTTGCTCTTCAGCCTCGAGCAAGTCCTTCCCCTTCAGTAAATCCTAGCTCCCCTAGCACTGAAAGACTTGTGCAAATGGCTGCAGCTCCTGAACTGTGGACAGTAATAATCTGTGCATATCTAGCCCTACACAGATCTTGGTAGTCATCAAAAGTGGTCACCTTGGGGTGTCAGAGCTGCAGTGACTCTACAGTGTTGACCATAAAAGCTGAGTTGCCCCCTCCGCCTCCGTGCCCCAGCTCCCATGGAGATGAAAGGATTTTTCTTTTAAATGATCTGAGATAGTGCTGAAGGGAAGAATCTTTTCTTCCAATATTTATTCAGTGCATACTGTGAAATTATTTTGGAAGGATGTTTCTAAAAAAATCCCTATTAATGCAGGGAAAAATTACTTTTTAGCAGCTACATAATACTTTGTAGCAGGGCAAATAGTGTATTTATGATTAACGCTTCTCTGATTCAGAAACAGTGAACACACAGGTCTGGGTTGGGTTTTCAACTTTTTCAACTTTTTTGCTTCTCAAGCTCCTACTTCATTTTCTGTGGGATTATGAGCATTTTTGAACAAATATTTCACTGAAACCCACCAGGCTTTAGACAGCAATCAGCAGGTTAGGAATAGTTTTCTTGTTTTCATAAGGAGAGAGAAAATACCTTCTTCTTTCTCCCTGATGATATGTAACAAAAAATGCATAAATAATGTTAAACTCCAAGAAGTGGCATGCATATAGCCAAGTCATATGCTCCAAACTTGGTTTTTCTTGAAAATTTGTAAACCCTCTGAATATGAAAGAAGCCACGCAGTCACGTTACTTAGCAAACCAGGAGGAACTCCTTCCACTGTGGTGTTAACTCTGAACAGCTTACATACGTTCACAGGCAGGAAAAGAAGCTGCATAAGCCATAAATAATGTCACAAATGATTGCTTAGCTCTGTTGAGTGCAAAATGGAGATTGTCTTTGGAGCAGTACAATCATTTGTACTACCAGTGGCAACGCATTATCTCAGCCGAGTTTATAGATAGAGCCCATCTTGGGCCTATTTCATTTTGCAGCACAAGTGAAATACAAGCCAAAGTAAGATTAATACTTTTCTTTAAAATGGTTGGGGAACTAAGGTCCAAAAACTTCTGCTCAGGCCCTAGCAAGGTATGGGAAGGATTTCATCTGACGATGTTGGTATCTGCAGCTGAAGTGATCACCTTGGGCTCCACATGCAGTCAATAGGCAGAAACAAAGCTGCAGTTCATCTGCCCAAAGGCAACTTGATAAAGAGGGGGAAACATGTATCTTGGTTTAGACTCCACTGCCTGTATCACATCAACCATAACAAGGGATCAGTATGACCAGCTTAGATAAAACCCTGTCTGTATTTAGTTAACTGAATCTGACAGTGGGTAATGCCAAAATGACCTAGAAGCTGTAAGGAAAGTCTCTGATATGAAGAATAGGCTGTTATCTGCTGGGCAGGCTGACCACGTGTGACCGGTTGTACATCGTTCTGTGTTTTGGGAGTGGGCTTGAACACGCGGCTCGTTAACTTTGGAGAAATAGAGAAAAGTCAGCAAAAGCCAGACGAGAATCAGCCGTACTAAGCAGAACCTATAGGTACTGAAAACAGCCATCATTTACACAATTAGCCATAAAGCCAGTTATATCCTCACCTTTCCTGAAGTGAAATACCCAGCACAGGAAATGAGATATGGGCCAGTAAGCGCAGAGCACTGGAGTCAGTCCCGTGTTAAAGATGGACAAATTCCCTCTCCCTCATTGGCATAATTAATAAAATCACCGGCTCAGTGCCTCTTCTGGAGAATAAACTCCAGTGATGCCTAGAAACATATGTACTCCTTAAAGGGGAATCAGCATTGTGCTATAAGAGAAACGATTGTCTAATCACTCCATCAGTAATTACAAAGATCAGGATATCACTAATTAAAATGTGAAAGTGTCTTATGCAGGGTATAATAAAAAAGGGTAATTAACAATCAAAGAAGGAGCCACCACCTTGCCACCAATCTGCATTAGGTTACAGAAAATAAAACTACTCAACTTGGGTATAGCACTTTTCATGTGCAGATCTGAAGGGACCCGTATGAGGGAGGCAGGTTTCCTCTGCCTCATTTTGTTGCTGGGGAAGCCAAGGCAAGTTTACACAAGTTGCCCAAGGTTTTACAGCAGGTCAATGGCAAAGCGCACGTTGCTTTTTTCTGTACCTAGATGGTGATGAGGAAATTGTCAGTAATTGAATGAGAGTGGCGATTTCAAGGGTTTGTTTGTTTTTTTTTTTTGTTGTGGTTTTTTTTTTTTAGTGTATATGTTTAGGAATGGCTAATTTGGCTAATATTTCAATTTTAAACTGACCAGTAGGGAAGAAACTAGTCCTTGCCAGGACTCTAGAGTCTGTTTAATGATGAGCGGTATGTCCCATGTGCTTAAATAACAGTATCAGGTGGTCATTTCTTGATGGGAGAGACAGTGAAATCACAGAGAGCAACAAAATAAAGACACTCGCTGTTCTGGAGAGAGCAAAGCCATGAGTCATGTCTAAAATGACTGTAAGAACCAATTGTTTCCTTCCCTGCCATTATCTTTAAGTCAAACTCTGCCAGGGACTGGGGGATGAACAGAGTGAAATTTCTCTTTGCTCTTCCTGTTTTTGACAAGCTTTTTCTAAGCCTCCAGTGCCTCCTCCTGATGCACCTCACCTAGCTCGCACATCCAGGGAAGGGGAGACAAGAGCCAGCTCTCAATCCAGGTCCTTCTTCACACCAGGAACATTTTACAATCCCATTGCAGCCTTTTTGTACACATTAACTGGACTGCCTTTGTGCTAGGTTCAGTGTAAAATAATGATGACAAAGTCTGGTTTCAATGTAAGAAAGATTTCTAGAATACAAACCCATTTGACACCTTTCTGCTCCAAAATCCTTACCCCAAAATGTCTGAAAATAGGAACTCGATTCCCCAACTCTGTTCTTTGCAGACAGAGCAAAGGTGAGAAAGGTATCACTTGGATGAATTTCTGGAAAAAAAAATACCAAGATAGAGAAAATCATTCCAGACCAAAACTAAGGGTTTTTCCCCCTTCTCTTGTCTAGCTCTTCAGAGAGTCCCTCTGCTTGCTTGTGCTGGAGATGATAGGTGCTGGACCTGGGTTAGGTTGGACTCCAAGGGCTTTGGTCCTTGTTTGCTGAAGACCCGTTGAAGGCCTCCCAAGGGGCATAAGAAAACCTGGTATTTGCCATAAATCAGAACCTTGGCCCTACTCCCATGGCGAGAAGGAAGGTCAGACATGGCAGGGTGACATCTTCAAAGCAGAGGCATGTCCTGCGGGGCTGCCCTGCTGGTGACCACGTGATATTTTTTCCCTGCTCTCTTTGTTCCAGCTGATGCAGCAGCAAGCCGCGATCATGGCATCAGTGGCACAAGGTGCCTACCTGAACCCCATGGCAGCCTTTGCCGCAGCCCAGATGCAGCAGATGGCGGCTCTGAACATGAATGGCCTGGCGGCCGCCCCCATAACACCAACCTCAGGTAAGGCCCTGCACCAGCATCCAAGGTGGGGGGAGGCTCATTGTGCACCCAACGAGAAGCTTTCAGCATGTCAAACCCTGGGGCTGCCGGCTCTGTGGCCATGTGAGCGAGTCCAGTCTGGCAGGATGAGCTGGGGCATTGTTGGCTCCACATCTGTGGCCAGCTCTGTCCCCATCTCACCCAGAGCTTGGACCTCCATTGCTTGCAAGTTTCTTGCCTCATAGGAGCTCCACCACTCATCCAGTTGTCCCTAGTGAGCTGCACTAGGATGGGACTGTGTTCGGAGTGGCTTGGGATAGCAATGCCCTTGCATGAACCTGTAGGAAGGACCAACTCATCTAGGGGTTGGAGTGAAGGGTAGAAGTGAGTTGTGCCTGAGCCAGCCAGAGGTGCAGGCAGTGCTGGGCAGAGCAGGATCTGAGCCTGTTCCAGAGGAGAGGGAGGAGAGGCAGCTTCATTGCTGATCACAGTAGAACCCATGAGAGCCCTGGAGCAGGAAAGGACCTGTTCGTGGAGTAACAAGGAAAGATACCTTGTGGCTGAGAGACACTGCATGGCAAGAGGATAAGGCACCTCAGCAGTGGAGACTTAGGATCACTCCTAAAGCATCAAAGTCTGCTAACCTCAGCCACAGAAAACATCCCTGTTCACACAGAGGTTTGCACCTCTTTGCAATCT